TGGCTGTTTCCTATTTCTTGAATGATCTTTCTTGGTTTAATGTTTAGATTGCATACCCCTTTCTTTTCTCTTTCAGAAAAGGTGTATAGAGAGGAAATTATTGTATCTTACATAACTGAAAGTATCTTATCCTTTCCTCACATACGAATCATAGTTTTACTGGATGCAGAACTAGAGATTGGGAAACGTTTTCTTTGAATTTCAAAGACATTATGCTCTGTTGTCTTCTAGCATGAAATGTTGCTAAATTTAGGTTAACAGTCTGATATCTTTGTAATTACTAATCCTGTACAGGTGAACAACTTTTTTTTTTTGTTTCTGAAATATTTTAGGCTCTTTAGTGCTCTGATTGTCTGGAATTTCATGATAATGAGCCATGGTATGATGCTTTCCTTAAAAGAACACGATTGAGCCAGGCATTCTATGGGCTTTGGAAGATTCCCATTATACAGATGTTATGTCTCTGATTCTCTAAGTCCTCATACCTCTGACAGTCCGCATTCTGCTTTCACAACTTAACTACCAATGGCTGACACAGAATGCTGGTTCCCAATTTATTTTCCCTAAGAGCTTGAATGTTTATTCTGTTTAACTTCACTCACTCATGCAAATATCTTCTCACAGAGTTTCCTACTCCTGAGTTGATTATCTGTTTTGCTCTCTTTGAAAGCATTTGGATTTTTGTCTTTGTTGTTGTTATTGTTTGTTTTTTTTGTTTGTTTTGAGGTTTGTTTTTTTTTTTTTGGCTTTTTTGGGGGAGGGAGGGTCCTGTAGTGGGCCTGAACTCTGGGCCTGGGCACTGTCCCTCAGCTCTTCAGCTCAAGGCTAGCACTCTACCACTTGAGCCACAGCACCACTTCCGGCGTTTTTTTTTTCTGCTTATGTGGTGTTGAGGAATCGAACTTTGTGCATGCAAGGCAAGCGCTCTACCACTGAGCCACCTTCCCAGCCCATTGTTTGGGTTTTTAATCCTTGATTTTCAATATTATAGTTTCTGGGCTGGGATGGTGGCTCAGTGGTAGAGTGCTTGCCTTGCATGCGTGAGGCCCTGGGTTCGATTCCTCAGCACCACATAAGCAAAAAAAGAAAAAAGCCGGAAGTGGCGCTGTGGCTCAAGTGGTAGAGCGCTAGCCTTGAGCTGAAGAGCTGAAGGACAGCGCCCAGGCCCAGAGTTCAAGCCCCACGACCGGACCCCCCCCCCAAAAAAAAAAGAGTCAATATTATAGTTTCTTTCTAGGAGAGTTTTCTATTTGGTTTTGGTTGGTTTGGGTTTGGCAGTACTAGAATCTGAATTCAAGGCCTTAACAACTTGCTAGAGAGATGTTCTATCAACTGAGCTTACCCCTCCTCCCCCATCCTCACCACCTTTTGACAAGTTCTTATTACATAGTCCAGTCCGGTCTTAAACTTACAATCTTCCTACCTCAGCCTCCTGAGTGTTATTATTACAGGACTGCAACAGCCCACCCCAGCAAGAAGAGTTGTTGTTTGAAACTCATCCTTCACTTAATGAGCTCTGCTGACTCTACAACAATGTTTTACACCTTCTTCCTCAGAAGGGTAAGTCCTTCTATCCAATTCTGGTTTGGCCTTTAGTAGAATCTCATTTCCTTTGATCTTCAAAAGAAAATTCCTCACAATCACTGAGCTGATTCTTCCCATCCCTCCTCTGGTCTACTTCATAAACTTATACTTTCTCTTGCCAGTCCTGTAGCCTCTAGGAGGAAGAGAGAGTAAACCAAGTTCATCTGACATCTAGAAGTATGCTCATCTGAGGCTTATACCACAGAAACCCCAAGCCTTGCTTTCTAAATCAATTTATAATTATTGGTATGAACCTCTCCAGAATATTCTCAGAAAACAAACACCAGGTTTATTTTGCATGTCTCTGTGGATACCTAGAAAAGATGGCTCTAAGTAAGATGGCAACAAAAAAGATGACATTTTTATGCCAAAGGCATCCAAACAATTTAAATAATTTATATGGCTATGTATGTTGAATTATGTCATTCTTAAAGAAATAACCAAAGAAAGTCTCTTGAAAAGAGACTGATGTCGGGCGCTGGGAAGGTGGCTCAGTGGTAGAGCGCTTGCCTTGCATGCATGAGGCCCTGGGTTTGATTCCTCAGCACCACATAAGCAAAAAGAAAAAAAAAGCCGGAAGTGGCACTGTGGCTCAAGTGGTAGAGCGCTAGCCTTGAGCTGAAGAGCTGTGGGACAGCGCCCAGGCCCAGAGTTCAGGCCCCACGACCGGACCCCCAAAAAAAAAAGAGACTGATGTCGTAATAGCTAATCTTTTTCTTTTTCCTACTTTTTTATCCTTTCTCTTTCTCACCTTTCTAAATCGCTATAACTCCTAATTCCTTTCCCATTATTTTATTATTGGTTATATTTATTTTTGCTCAAATTATTTTCCATGTGACTTTTAAAAGTCAGTCTAATAAGTAATTTTTAAGTCTATAAATCATTGTAAATTGCCTGGGGAAAGAGATCCAACACTGAGTGACTCAATAAAAAAGAATGCCATGTGGTCTTTAAATCCTTTGTTCTTTAACTTTGAAAATAAAAACTTTTGATTCACTAATCACTTGAACTACATTCAGTTCTGAATTGTTTCCTATGGCTTTCCTAGAATAAATAACAAGCTGTTCAAAGCCATCATTAAATAGTGAAGTCATCTAACCTTATGAAATTTTCTCAAGAATACAAATAACAAAAATTCAACTTCAACTTGATGGTAATTGGTGGTCATGCACCAAAAATTAAATGCATGAAGGTGCAAAACTGATTTCTTATAACTTCATTATGTTAGATGTTGTAATAGTATTGGAGCCATAAATGAGTCATAACTAAATTGCTGTTAGTTTTCAAAGTACCTATGCTATACCTATTAATTCTGAAGGATTTTAGGGGGTAAAATTTTATTCATTCAGCTTAGAAACGTTGGATTTTTTTTTTTAGTCAAGCAGGTGCAATGTTTTTATAAATGTGAACAGAAAATTTATTTACTAGTATAAAATTTTTAAGAAATATTGGAAAATATCCAGACATATCTTCAAAAATTCTGTTGTACAATGTTTAAAACAGCCTCAAAATGTTAGTACTAAACATAGAATTGAAGTTAGCAGCCTTGTTAAGATTCAAATCTTTCTGATCAATTTCTGAAGAATTTAATTTTTCATGAAACAATGTTGGCACTTAAATGAACATACAAGTTAGAAATACTGTTACTCTCCATGTTACATACTGGGACTTTGGCATTCCCTTTAAGTTTACTATTGTTGTTCTGTCATTACATGTTAAGCACCAAGAAGTACATATTTCAGTTAACCCTCGGTTAGTGAAAGCCTACATAATACATCTGAATCCAAAGAAATTTTCCAGATAGTTTAAATCTCAAGCTCAATTCTTAAGGGAAAACTTCCCAAATCTAAAATATGTTTCAAAACTGCAATGTGCAGTGCAGACTTAGACATAGCTGGGCTGATTTTCACCAAAGCTGAGTCTGAAGGAAGGACTCTGTACTTGGCTCCGCAGCTGAATACCTAAGGATTGTTGTTCATCCTAGACCTTAACCATGCCACTCTGCCTGGGGTCCTTTCAGCTACTCATCATAAAGGAGACTTAATGTTTCCCTCGTTTTGTGTGACATCACAGCATCTACTATGAAATGTATGCCTTCTATCAGCTATACTGCAGCCTTCCAGCCCAAACATGAGAAAGTGTATGCTGTTAAAAAAATGTAGTAAACATATTTCAACTTGGACTCTCAAAGATTATTTTCATTCAGACTCTAGTTTAAAAGCCTTAGAAGTTAATACTCTTAAATACAAACAGTGGTAGAATTATTATAATTAAAGCATTTGTTTCATTTATCAGTGCCAATTTTTTGCTTCGTAAAAATAACACTTTAGCCAGGTTCTGGTGGCTCATGCCTGTAATCCTAGCTACCCAGAAGGCTGAGATCTGAGGATCACAGTTCAAAGTTAGCCTGGGCAGAAAAGTCTTTGAGACTCATCTCAATGAACTACTCAGAAAAAGCCAGAAGTGGTGCTGTGCACTAGCCTTGAGTAAAAGAAGCTTAGGGACAGTATCCAGGCCCTGAGTTCAAGGCCCAGAACTGAAACACACACACACATACACACATTATAACACTTGAAGCAACTCCTGTTGCTCTATAATGGGTGATCTTTTCAATTGACAAAGCAAATTTCTTCTTTGCCAAAAACCTTTTTCACACAGTTGTTGATTTCTTGGGAAATGCTTACTGAAATTTTAAATATTTTTCCCTGCGGAAAATTACCTGTGACAATTTGCTTAAAATAATTATGGGATGATATATGAGAAATAATGTGTTGAGAGTATCTATATATGCACATTTTTATAGTTAGATGTTGCTTTTAGTTTCTATTTTTTTTTAATTTTTATTTATTTATTTTTGTCAGTCATCAGGCTTGAACTCTAGGCCTGGGCTCAGCTCAAGGCTCAAGGAGAGCACTCTACCACTTGAGCCACAGTACCACTTCCAGTTTTCTAGTGATTTATTGGAGATAAGATGCCAACAGACTTTCCTGCCTGGGCTGGCTTTAAACTGCCATCCTCATATCTTGGCCTCCTGAGTAGCTAGGATTATAGCACCCAGCCTTAACTTTCTATTATTATCTTTAAGTAGTTGTACAAAGGAGTTTCAATTCAACATGTCAGTTTATGAGTGCACTGATCCAAGTCAGTCTCCCTAAAGTGAGAAGCTTTTAAGAGATTATAAACTGGAGAGAAATCTTACAAGATTCAGAGCAGGAGCACTGGACAGCCTACCCATCATAGGCCACATAGTAATAATTCCAGTGCAGACAGACAGGTACCTGTGTCGGGGCGGAAGGTCAAGGTCATAAGACCACAGAGGTTTTGAGCATGGGTAAAAATTCAAAGAAAGATACTGTGCTCCTTGAGAACTCTCCCAACAGCAGATTATGAAGACAAGCCCAAGACTTCTAGCCTACCATTTTGGGAAGGTTTAAGAAGCATTGAACACAAATTAACAATATTAAGTACATTCACATACAAATTTTGAAATATTTCCTTGGCTATCTATATAAAAATGAAACTGTGGACAGCTGGACAGGAACATTGCTCCACTCGTCGGACTTTCCTCCAGGTCCCTTGACATCGAGGATTACCAATGGCTTGCCAATGGAGAGTCTGATTTCTGAAATGGGATTTTGGAAATGTTAGTTGTGCTAAAAGTGAACACAAGAAAACTCTTTAGGGGCTGGGAAGGTGGCTCAGTGGTAGAGTGCTTGCCTTGCATGCATGAGGCCCTGGGTTCGATTCCTCAGCACCACATAAGCAAAAAGAAAAAAGCCGGAAGTGGTGTTGTGGCTCAAGTGGTAGAGCGCTAGCCTTGAGCTGAAGAGCTGAGGGACAGCACCCAGACCTAGAGTTCAGACCCACGACCGGAAAAAAAAAAAAAAAGAAAACTCTTTATTACAAAATTATAAATTGAATCTTTTTTAAAAAATAAAACTGTATGCTGAGACCTGAGGATCACAGTTCACAACCAGCCCAGACAGGAAAATCCGTAAGACTCATAATCTCCAGTGAATCACAGAAAAAGCCGGAGGTGGGGCTGTGGCTCAAGTGGTGAAGCACTAATCTTAAGTGAAAGGAGCTCAGTGACAGTGCCCAGGACCAGAGTTCAAGCCCCAGGGCCAGCAAAAAAAATCCCCAAAAGCAAAAACCCTGTGTGAACAGTTTTAATGTGAATTACAAATCAAGTTAAAGAATTATTGCAAATGGAGTTTCTCTCCCTTAGATAAAGTATGTTACCAATAAATCCCCATTTGAGGTCATTCTCATGTTGTTTGGGGGGTTACTGTATCTGATTCTACCACTTGCTCTGGATATAAGCACTAAGTAAAGGGAAATGGTATTCTGTGTGCATTTAAATAAGAAGGGTCTAAACCAAATTATTCCTTTCATTCCTTTCCAAGTCTTTGATTTTGTAATGAAAAACTGGGAGATGTGGAAAGAGAACAAAGGCAGATTATTAAAATTACTGTTTTTTAAAGTCAATAGTACCTGAGCTAGGGCTTAAGTGCCCACTTTATTGAGTGCAAATTGAATTATAAATTCATTTAAAGACATAATATGGATGAGGTATTCAGAAAAGCATTAAGTCTAAATATTAAGTTTCATTTGATAGGCATTCCTTAGCCACTTTATTATTCATATGGTATACTCAATATAGACCACTAGGCACAGGTGAGTAATAAACATAAGTTCAAATGATTAAATATTAAAACATGCAATGGGAATAATGAATAATTGGGAATATCAATGTTTTACTGCTTAATCTACGTTTTCCACCTGACATACTGAAAACATAATCCATGTGGGTCCTAAATTGGTCCTTATCCAATAGTTCTTTCAGTGTGAAATAAACCTGTCTTAATATGAATGATAGTATAAGATTCACTGACAAATGAAAGCAGGAGGAGATAGATTTGCAGATTTTTGTTTAGAAAAATCTATAATTACATAGGATTATCATCCTGCAGAACTGAGCCAGCCACTGTCTCAGGTACAAATTCATGTGAAAAGCCCCACTACACAGCGGATCTGAGACAAGAACGGGTTTGAACAACCTGGACAGGGTCAGTAAACTATGAGCCCTTGTAGACAAATTCCAGCCTACCTCCTGTTTGCAACAGACCATAACTAGAGTTGAGCTCTGGTGCCTCACGCCTGTAATCCTAGTTACCCAGGAGGCTGAGATCTGAGGATCTCAGTTTGAAGCCAGCCTATGCAGAAAAGTCATGAGACTCTTATCTCCAATTTATCAGCAAGAAACCAGAAGTAGGACTGTGACTCAAGTGGTAGAGCACCTGCCTTGCACAAAAGGCTAAGGGACAGCACTCAAGCACTCAGTTCAAGCCCTAGTGCTGGCAACATTGATTACTTAGTCAAGTAATTAAATGAATGAATTTTAGGACTTGAGAGCTAGAAGAAAGTTATAAATAACAATATTTTGTGACATATAACATTATATGAAACTCAAGTTTCAGTGTCCCAACAGAAAAAATCCAATGTATACAGTGGTCTGCCCTCTGCCTCCCTGGCCAAGTGAAGTGGCTGAGTTTGGTATATGATAGAAGCCATATAGGGTGTAAAGCCTAAATTATGGACTCTGGGGCATTTTCTAGGAAAAGTTTTCTGACTTCTGATTGAAGGGATTATTCAAAATCTACTGGCAAAGACTCTGATTCCATTGGTCTGAAATAGGGCCAGGAATCTGCATATTTTAAATCTCTATTTCAAGAGAGGCAGATCAAGTGGTCTTCAGAATAGCACTATGGAGCAACAGGGCTTTGGGTGGTCATTTGGGAACTTCCAAACTGACCAATTCCAATTCTGGCAGACAGAACCTTAGAATCCCATAGTGGGAACTGAAGCCTTGGACAGATTATTCTCTTCACAGTCCTAATCATGCCTTCACATGTAACATGCTGGTCAGCTGTGCTAGACATAGAGAAGATAGATTCTCAGAAAGAACAATGAGAAAAGTCCTCTAATCAGTTTGTTTCTCTTACCCATCAGAGTCCAGGCCATCTCCTGAACAACGAAGGCTCACTGAGTTCATAGCTGGAGGCTGACAGTCCACACATACTGTGTATCCTTCTCGAAGGTACTGCATCCATCGAGTCAGGGGCCGGTTTTCCAGGGCACAGTGAGGCGTCAGGGACTCAGTCTTGAACTCCATACAGTAACTAAAGTAAAAGAAGTGATTATTTCACATGCTGTAACATGAGGGAGGCTAATGCTGTAGAAAATCTTAGGAAACCAGTGCATCTAGCAGACAGGAGCAGGGAAGGAGTGCATCTTCACAAGAATACATCGCATGCATCATTCACAGAATGCATTTAAAGTCTCTCATTCACCTATACTGGCATGAACCTAACGGTAGAACCTTTCTTGTTCCTTTTCTATCCGTGACTAAATTATTTTGGTTAACATGAAGGTAAACATTTGAGTAACTTGTATCCTCCTCAATCAGATCAACCAATAAATTGTGTATAAAATCACCAGCATCTGTGACTCACTTGTAATCCTAGGTATTTAGGGGATTCAGGTCTGAGGTACAAGGTTCAAAGCCAGCCCTAGTAGACAAATCCAAGCAAAAAGCCAGAGGTTGAGGTATGGCTCAAGTGGTAGAGCACCAGCTTTCAAGAGGTAAAGGCCCTGTGTTCAAGGCCCAGTATCTATCAACACACACACACACACACACACACACACACACACACAAAAGCATGTGTTTGCCAGGTGTTAGTGACTCACACGTGTAATCCTAGCTACTCAGAAGGCTGAGATCTGAAGATGGTTGTTTGAAGTCAGCCTACACTGGAAAGTCCATGAGACTCTTATCTCCAATAAACTACTCAGAAAAAGCCAGAAGTAGTAGACCAGTAGCCTTAAGCACCAAGAAGCTCAGGGTCAGGGCCCAGGCACGGAGTTCAAGCCCTAGGACTGGGAAAACACACACACAAACACACACACACACACACACACACACACACACACACACACACACACATGCACACCATGTTTTATAGGAAATTAGCCCTTGGTAATGTTGCAGCTATTTAAAATATACACATACACACATATTATATATGTGTATAACATATATATTGTATATAATATGAGCCTGCAGGTCCTGAGGAAAGCTTGTCCTTGACACCAGGGCATCCCTGCGCTTTTGTGCCCCTCAAAAGTTGCTTGGGGCTTTCCCTATCTTCCCTACCCAGCCCACATGCGTGGTATGGGATCATGTCAATGAGTCTTGAAGTCAAGGGTCAAAGTTGTATCAGGCACCACAAATGAAAACAGAACGGAAGATACATTTTTCTGCAACAGGGTTAGAGTCACTTTATACTGAGCTCTGGAAAACTTTTTTTTTCTAGATTCTGAAGGCCGCAGGGACCTTCCAACTATGGGCAAATACTTAAAGCCTTAGTACTTAAAAGCAACACAATTTTCTAATTCTCCAGAGAAACAAAACATAATTTATAAACCCCATCAATGTTGTAGAAAAAAACTTGTATTTGCAGCTCAATGGCTAATTTCTTTTCCTTTTTGTTTGTTTGTTTGTTTCTTTTTTTCCTGTTGTTTGTGGGGCTTGAAATCAGAACCTGGGCGCTTTCCCTGAATCTCTTTGTGCTCAAGGACATTGCTCTACTACCTGAACCACAACACCACTTCTGCTTTTTAAGCAGATACTAGGAGGTAAGAATCTCATGGGGACTTTTCTACTCAGGCTGGCTTCAAACCTGGATCCTCAGATCTCAGCCTTCTGAGGAGCTGTGATTACAGGTGTGAGCCACCAGAGCCTGGCTGGCTCGTTTCTTTTGGAGGGATAGGAGGAAGTAGTACTGGGGTTTGCCTTCTTGATTAGCTTTTTCAGGCTTGAGGCTGGCACTCTACCACTTGAGCCATACTTTGACTTTTAGCCTTTTCCTAACTAGTTGGAGATAAAAGTCTCTGGAACTTTCCTGCCTGAGTTGACTTTGAACCTAGAACCTCAGATTTCAACCTACTGAGCAACTAGGATTGCAGGCACAAGCCTCTGGTGGGCAGCTAATTTCTTACCAATTAAATTGTGAGTTGTAACAGATTATACAGAAGATGTTTAGAAATACTGCCACAACGATGTTTAACCATAGTAGTGACTGCTTATTAGTAACTTCAATGATGGTTATTGAAGTAGGAAGTTCAACAATGCATCTTCAGTCAACAAGATACTGCAGTCGTCCCTCAGTACTGTTTTCTCATTAACTGTTTATACCAGCCCCATGTGATGGGTACTCACATTCATTTTGCAGGAATAAAAAAACCCAAGGTAGAACAGCTCATGGCTAGTGAGTGGCAATGTGCGAAGTGAGCATGCAGCCATCCGGTCCTTCTTCTCTGATGGCACAAGAATGAACCTCATTTGAGCACAGGGGTGCCTTCCAGCCTTAGCCATGAGGTTTCAAACAGGAGTTCTCTGAATTGACAGTATGCCACTTTCCATGATTCCATAAAGACTTATCAGAAGAGCATCTCATTATAACTAATCAAATAATATCTCAGCCAGACATCAGTGGTTCATGTCTGCAATTCTAGCTTCTCAGGAGTTTGAGATCTGAGGATCACAGTTCCAAAACACCCCAGGTAGAAAAATCCATGAGATTCTTATCTCTAATTAATCACCAAAAAAAAGGTGGAAGTAGACTTGTGGCTCAAATAGTAGAGTACCAGCCTTAGGCAAAAAAGCTAAGGAACAGTGCCCAGACCCTGAATTCAAGTCCAATGCAGGCATGTACTCATGCACGTGCATGCACACACACACACACACACACACAAACACACACACAGGATTATTTCAACTTTATGTAGCTTGTTTCTTCTTGGAGGTCGGAACTTGAAAATAGATAAATCTTCATATCTCACAAAAACAGAGAAAGGACAAATACTTTCCCAATTCAATGATTAAGTCATGTTTTACTCGAAGTTAACAGGCAAGTATCAATCTAAGAAAACAGTCACAAGTTCACTCTTTTGGACAGACTTGACTGCACGAGTAGAAAAACATAATGATAATTTAAACAATACCAAATTACCCAGCATCCTCTGTGTGTGTAGACCACTGTGGAGATGCAACTTGTCTTGTTCTTTCTTTGTTGAATGCAGAGGTAGTTATAAAGGCAGGGACTAGAAAAGAGAGAAGTACATTGAATGCATGCCACCAAAGTACTCAGATCTTTCTCACAGACTTGGTTCATGAGAACCTCTTGATCCTTCACAAATTTTCTTCACAGACTTGGCTTCCTACCTGCCTAAAGATCATTTCTAAAGCCAAAGACTTGGGCACACCTTCAAATAGCAAGGTGAGGCTCAGTTACAAGGCATGCAGAACCAAACTGACTGAAGATTTGTGCGCATGCAGATGGGCGGGGAGGGACCATAGGCAAAACACTTAGGTCTGCAAAGATAAAATTGGAAAGGAAAGAGAGGAATCCCAAAAGAGAAGCCAGCAGGAAACAATAAAAATATGAGGGAAAAACAAGGGGAAAAAGGATGCTTATTGTGAAATGAGAAAGAGAATGCATCTTTTTTAAAATAAAGAGAAAAATTTTTTCAAAAGGAAAACAGGAACAATGAAATAAGAATAGACCAAAAAAAGAGAAGGAAAGAGAGGGAAAGAAAACCAAAGAGAAAAAAACAATGGAAGGAGAGTAAATGGAGCAGTAGAAAGAGAGGAAAGAGAAATGATAAAAATAAAAAACAGAAATAATCAGTCACTGGTGGCCTGTAATAAATGTTAGGATCAGGATTGAAACCCGCCCAGGCAGGAAATTCTGTGTGAATCTTATCTCCAATTAAAGATAAAACAACAACAACTAGAGCCCAGAAGCTTTGCCCACCATAGAATGTCCCCATGTGACTGCCCAGTGCCAGCCAGCTCAGCAAGTCCCCTCACAGCTTAAGAAAGAAAGTCTCTTGCAGCCTCCTTTCAGCCCTTTCCTTCTCCCAGCCCTACCCTGACTCTGCCTCTCTGGGTCAGTGAACAGAAGAGGTGCCAGGCACCCTTCCTTCTATCTCTGATTTCTTTGCCTTGTTTTTGTGTCTCATCTTTCTTTCACAATAAGTCAAGGAAGGCATTTGCTATACTTAGCACCTACAAGTAACCTTTTGATTCCAGTCTGCTTCCAACTCAAGAAAAGAGGGGCTTACCTTATTCATCACTATACCTCTTACTCATGTGAACACCCAATGAATAGTTGTGCAATGGGTGAGTGGATAACTGAATGAATGAAGTCATGGGATTGCCACCAAGGCACAGACGGCTGCTACATCTCTGTGGGCTCCTGTTCTGATACCACCACCCCTCTTTATCTATGCATGATCATTTGTAGGACCTCCCTGGAGAACACTAAGGTCCTAAATACTCAAGACCCTCATAGGTCTTACATCTTCTATGCACAAGCCTTTGTCTCCTTTAAATCTCCCTAGATTATTATAATACCTAATATAATAAATGCTAGGTAAACAGCTATGTTTTGGTATTGTTTGAAGAATAATAACAAGAAATGGTCTGTTCATGTTGAATACAGACACATCTTCCCCCTGGGAAATTTTCCATCTTCTATTGGTTGAATGTGCAGATTCCGTGTGTGGATGTGAAAGGCTGACTACAAAAGCTTTGAGGCTGAGACGGTTCAACCGTTCTTCCTGTCTTTTATGTTAGAACCCAGATTGTCCTGAGAAAGGTAGATATAAGCAGATACTGCTTTGTGAGATGCCCAAATCGTCAGCATGAGCAAAGCAGTGTGAGGGTGCTGGTAGCTAAGAAAATGCTGTAAGCCTGTAAGCATGTTGACTTTATCTGGCTCCTCACTGCCACAAGATGGCAGCCCTTCGTTCTTTCTTTTAGCTTTTTCATACTGAAGAGTCATGTTTCTATTAAGATGGGAATATAAGACAAGAGTAGTCTGGTGTTAGCCCACAGGCTGTCAAGGGTTGCAGATACAGTTCTTGTCTCCTGTGGTTTGGTGCCTTCATCTCTCTGGCATGAAAATTATCTACACCTAGAGTATACCCTACCATCCCAGGCAGTGACATGTCCGTTTTCCAAATGGAGCATGTCACGCTTCATAAATGTGATTGTAGCTTTTGCATTTCTAAAATTCACAGACAGAATTAAGAGGAACAAGTGAGCACCTGTATCTGGACCCTTTTGCTCTTCTCAGACCCAGTAATCAGAAACAAAACACCTAAAGGCTTAGTTTTTCCACATGTTTTCATGTCTATTCTTTTGATATGTTTATGTATTTATTCACTAAGTGAAGGAGTAATTTACTGCTAAAGCCTTCCAGCATCATACAAGCATGAGTGTAAAATGTTTGAGCTCAAAACTTTCACCCTCTTATAATTTACACTCTCTGTAGCCTTACAAAGTTCCAAGGTAACATAATGTTGTAGTTCAGAAAAAAATAGGAAATTAGGAAGAAGAAAGGAAGCATGAGCATAGCTCCTGATAGAAAATCCTTAGGAATTATTTGGTAGTCAGTTTCTAGGCACCACGCTAAGTCACTTTGCATATATTCATTTAATTTCACAGTCACCTTCAGGGATAGATTCTATTATTTCTCCAGTTCCCAAGGAGGAACAAATACAATATTCATTGTATGTTAGGTGAAAACTGAACTACATGAGGGTAGGAATGCGAGGAGGGAAAACAAGGCAGAATCAAGGAAGGAGTGGCATTAACCAAGATGCAGTGTCCTCATAACCTGACATATGGAATTGGAACCTCATTGCACAACTACTTAGTTAAAATTATAAAGGAGTCAGAGAGGGCACAGACTAGCCCTGCTGCATCACAGCCATTCTGTTTCTATGGTTAGCCCATCTCTAGAGTAATTCTACACCATATTTTCCGTTCTTCATTTAAAAAAACCCTTTGTAGAGATAACCATTTTATTCATTAGAAGGCTGAGGTTCCTTGAAGAGAAGATAGCTAGTATATGACTAAGCGAGAATCTCAATCCAGAAGACACCTGGTTTTTATAAGTCATCATGTTCACCAGGGTGTAGTATCCTAACCACTTAGGAAGGCTGAGCTTGGGAGGATCACAGTTGAAGGCCATCCAGGATATACAGGCAAGACATCCCCCCGTCTCTATTTTTGTCAGTTGTGAGACTTGAACTCAGGCCTGGGTGCTATCCTTGAGCTTTTTCACCTAGGCATGTGCCTTGCAGAAGCATGAACCCATTTCAAAATTAACCAGTCCAAAATTTTTTTTAAAGAGAAAGAATTGGAGGTGTAGCTCAAATGGTAAAGTATCAGCCTTGCAAGTGCGAAGCTGTGAGTTCAAACCTCAGTATTGCCAATAAAAAAAAAACATTGTCTATGTTCAGTTTCTGTGCTGTGCTCAAAGTTGGTGGCTATGGAGTGGCCGGGGTAGGGGGCGGGGGAGGTAGGATATCTGTTTTCAAGCCCCAACTCATCCTCATGCTCTCGCTTAGCAGTTAATGTACAAGGCTAGCATTCTACCACTTGAGCCACATCTTCACTTCTGGCTTTTTGTTGGTTAACTCAAGGTAAGAGTCTCTCCAACTTTTCTGCCTGGGCTGCTTCGAACTGTGATGCTCAAATGTCAGCCTTCTGAAAAGCTAGGATTACAGGCGTGAGCCACCAGCACCTGGCTGTGGTGCATTTTAAAAGCCAGCCAGTTACTCAGAACCTTGCTTCCCCTTGTCCCTGCCTGCAGCCCTGGGGTTTGGATGTCTGGAACATTCCATTGCAAGGTCATCCTTCCCCCATGTCAAGATTTCAGTAAAAAATAGACCAGGAGCCAGACTGCCTGGAGTGCTCCAGATCAGAACCACTCTTTAATTTATCCCACAAATATAATGTTTATTACTTAATCCTGATAAATGATTTAGAAATTAATCCTGCATATGTATTTTAGCATGTAGCTGATGCCCTGGGACAATGGCTCTCCATAATGCTGCTCCCTCTTTTGTTCCCCTTTCTGGCAACAATATTCAAATGTAATACATTCTTTGTTCACAGGCCATTTGCCAACATTTCTGGCAATCTAAGAGCCTACCATTGTTCAGTTTTACAACAACTTTCATGGCACTGCACATATTTCCTTTGAACATGAAAGAAAATTAAATTTGCTTGGGGAATTTCATAAGCCCTCTGACAGGGGTGGGGAACCATTTTTATCTGCCAAGAGTCATTTATGTATTTATACACATCCATCATGAGCCATACAAGATGATCAATACAGGCGCAGGGCCACAGGCAGCTGACCAGAAACATAAGATAAGAAAAGGTGTCTGCCCTGTTACATACCAAAAGATTTGGGAGTTTTATATGACCCACAGGTCTGATATTCCTCATTCCTGAGTGTCCCAAACAGAGGTGAAGAATGCAATGGGAATTTGACAAGTAGTATTTTATGCTTCCAAATTGGAAGCATAAAGTTTATAATATGCTCCCCCAGTGATGTCCTCTTAACAGGAAAGAATTCACATAAACATCAGTAATGTGCAAACGAATTCAGGAATTCATCCTCTTGCAGTTATTTTATGATGACATATAATCATATGTATTCACTGAAATAGGGAAAATTCATTAGCCCAGTGGTATTTCCTTCATTGGCTTCAAAGGGCCTTTCTGTTTCTACTTAATTACCTGAATCTGTAGTCACAATTTTAGCTGGAATGATAACAGATATCAGAAAATAATATAAGAAGAGTAAGCCCCTATAGAACCTGTAGCTGTGAGATTTGGGTTTCTGTTCTGCTCGCTTTTCACAAGTGTTGTCTTTCCTCCCAAAACTCAAACATTTTCATGTGTAAGCCAAAAATAATGGCCTTCTCCTACCATTCGTATGGTAAAGAAGATAATGGCAGGAGAAGATGTGGCTAGAGAAGAAAGAGACAGAGAGATTTGACAGTGCTGGCTGTGACCATGGAGGGGGAGGGGGAAAGAAATGAAGAAAGGAATGTGGTCAGCCTTAGAAAAATGTAAGGCAAAAAACTCTCCATTCTAGCCTCCAGAAAGGAAGGTAGCCCCACTGATTGATATCCTGATGTTAGCCCAGAAAGACTCCTGTCTGATGTCCAATCTACAGATCTGAAAGATAACAACAAATGCATGTCGTTTAGGTTACTAACATTGTAGTTATTTGTTAACTAACTTTTTGAGATAGTAAAATGTCTTAGAAATTACAGTATTCTCAGTATTTTCTCTAGAACCTTTTTTTTTTTTGGGGGGTCCGGTCGTGGGACCTGAACTCTGGGCCTGGGCGCTGTCCCTCAGCTCTTCAGCTCAAGGCTAGCGCTCTATCACTTGAGCCACAGCGTCACTTCCAGCTTTTTTCTTTTTGCTTATGTGGTGCTGAGGAATTGAACCCAGGGTCTCAGGCATGCAAGGCTAGCACTTTAACCACTGAGCCACTTTCCCAGCCCAAGAACTTATTTTCTTAAGAGCAACTCTCTCTCAATTTTAGCATCTTTTGCTGTTTTAGTAGACTGAGAATTTCCTCAAACTGTAGTTCCAGTAGCATTAAACTTTTTCCTCCCTCAATACCCATTCTTTCTCTCCTGTTTTACTACAAACAGCAAGTAGAAACCAGCCTAGATTGCTTAGATAAATATTCACAGCAGTTGATCATTCACAAGTTCCACTCTCCACATACTGCAGGATGAAATCTGCTATGCTTTCTGATCTTGTGTATCATGGACTCCATTTACAGGCCAGGCACCAGTGGCTCAACCCTGTAATTCTAATTACTCAGGAGGCTGGAATATTACTGTACAAAAGCCTGCCTGGGCAGACAAAGCTGAGAGACTCTTATCTCCAATTTATCATCAAAAAGCCCAAAGTGAGATTGTGGCACAAGTGGTAAAGTGCCAGTCTTCAGCAAAAATGTTAAAGGAGTGTGCAAGGACCTGAGTTCAAGCCTCAGTCCTGTTAAAAAAAAAAAATCCTGTTTATCTACAAAAAGGCAAGGCAATGAGGGTTCTTCCTAGAGCCTGCATAAACAATATATTTTTGCTGACATTCTGATTTTAGTACAGGTAGGCCTGTGTTAAGGTTCTCTCCCACAGAAGTGTAACATAATATATTTGTGTTTTTTTAGGCCACTAAGTTTCTGACAATTTGTTATAGCAGCTGCAAAAAAAAAACAAAACAAATATATTCCCTTGTAGACTGCTATAAAGGTCTGAACCAATAATACCTACACAAACTCTCTGCCATGCCAATATGACAGATATGCTCAAAGTCACTCATAGCTTTCCTGGGTAGATGGAGACTGTTTGCTTCTCCTAATTCTCTTAGTGGAGTGTAGTGGCAGGAGTAGCAAGATAGATCATTTGTAGCGGGTATAGCCAGCCATAGAAGAAAGGAGTGGACATGACCAGGCAGAGAAGAGACTCTACCCACAAGGGCCAGGCATGTGTAAGATTTGCTCAGGGCCACATTATCCCACACTCACACTGTTTGGCCATTGTTCCATAGCATCCCTTTCTTGACCTGGCCACAATATACTGTTGTAAAGAGACCCAGAGATAGGAAGGAGGGCACCGCAGACTGGGGGAGCAGTCAAGGGTCTAATGTGCTGAGGAAACACCTCCTGACAGCCAGATACCATACAGAAGCAGAGCGGAGTCTTTTCCTATTGAGTTGGTTCTAACAGCGACCAAGAAAACCCATAGTTCATATAGTAACCTCCTCCCAGAACCTCAGTGTTAGTTGTCCTCTATGACTGCTTCTGTAAGCAACCACCTTGGAAGAAATAAATTCTTTCTTTGTACACTTAATGTGATGGCTGACTCATCATAAGACCCCCATCTCACCCCTTCACTACAGAGTGATCTTTTCCAAACCTAAATGTGATTTCAATGGTCCCTGCAGAAAATTACTCTAATGGCTCTCTAGGATTCTTCAGAAAAGAAGTGTCCCTACGTGACAGCCTTGTTTTGGTATCTCAAATGGCTCTTATACTTTCCCAATATTATATAAACAAACCATGGATGGTCCCCAGCTTCAGTGGTCACTGCAGGCTAAATTCCTGTAGCTTAAAAATCTGCGGGCACCAATCCCAATTTTTTTTTTACACGCGCAGTTGTTTTAAAAATAGCCCCCAAAGCATAGTATTGGCCATGTAGGGCCTGTTTTCTTTGCAGAACTGTGACTCTATATCCAAGATCCACTGTCCACTGATTTGGCACAACCTCATGGTTCAAAGAACCCACACTGTCATTGACTTTGTAGTTTCTGAATGCTCTCTCCTCTATTCTGAGAGTTCTCGCACCCTCCTCTACTGCATGGCACTCCCACCGAGCCAAGCCTACCCTAAGCCTCTGGACAGCCTTGTGCTGTGAGAATTTGTCCAAGCACTTCCCAATAAGGCCTGCTGTGTTACAGCCTCTTATGATCATGTTTTGACCTTGATCGGCCTTGAAATCTTTCACAGCCCCTACACCTGACCACAGGATTTAACTATTCTAGTCTGTCTGACTGAGTTGTTCTGCATTCTGAGCCCTATCTCCAGGGAAGTCCTCACTGTTCCCTACCTATTTGTTCAGAGTTCCATGGGCTGCTTGCTCATTTGCTACTAACTCTACTCATTACCACAGCTGTCATTTTCTGGGATTAATTTGCTGTGATAATCTGATAACTGTGTTTCCCTCCACTAGATAATGAGCTGCATGCTAGCAGGCTCTGGGTCACTTTTCTTCCCCTCCAGGGGCCCTGGCCTCCAGCCCATGCCTGATAGCAAGTCGATTCTCAATAAATAAATATGGAGTATAATAGCTTGATAAGGATTGTGTTGACATAACATTTTCCATGCTCTTATGGGAAAAAACCACACATGGTCTTTGTTATCCTGAGTAGTCACTGTTTTGCCCTATTGGGTTCAATCTAGATCAACACATTGACACTGGTTTTTGTGTTTGTTTTTTTTTTTCATCTCCTTCTTTTTGAGGTTGTGGAGGTCCTAGATCATTCATGATCCAGCTCCTAGCCCCTTCATTGGCTAGTCCATAACCTCAGCTATCTTCCCTGCTTCCCTTCTCTCCTTCCCACCCCTCTCTTGAGACAGAGGCCTGCTATGTTGCCCAGCCAGGCCTTCAGCAGTTAGGCTTAAGTGATGCTCCTACCTCTGCCTCCTAAGTAGCTGGGACTCTGGTTGTGTTTACCACTTTGCCCAGTCCAAGGAATTCTTTCAAATCAGCACAGTAGCCCTAGTCCGGTCAACTTAAGAGGCAAGTATTTCAAATAAATCATTTCTTTCATTTAAAAAGTTGACCACTTTTTCTATCATTATCACATTTGTGCGTGCACAACAGTAAGAGGTAAATTAAAATCCCATTGGACTTACAGTGGAAATAGAAAGATATTATGGCTGTATTTAAGTCCTCTGTCACCTGCATGATAGGTTCAGAATAATGCACATGCATTATTCTGAGGGCTAGGGCTGTAGCTGGGGGGGGGGGGGGGGAGGAGAGGGGCGGGAAGCACCATGTCCACGTGATTTATTATTGAATGCATGCACAAAGAAAATAAGCCATTAGGTTTAAAAATCACACTGAGGGAAGGGAGGGATAGGCAAGCATTTGTGCAGCGGGTCATTAATGTCTTTATTAAGCATTTCCGGAGCTTCCTATCTACTTGGGGCAGAGCAGCCCAGCCCACTGCCTGCAGAGTGTGGAACTTTCCCCTGACAGCAAATGGCCTTTTATGGAATGAAGCGGTTAGGAAGTCATCAAAGATAACAAGGACAGAAACCAGGAAGACACCAATACCAAAGGAGTGCCCGCAGTCCTGGCCCTGTGACGTGGAGTACTCCAGGCAACCGGCTCTCTCTTCCAGGGGCGGGCAGGGCGCCCCACCGTTCTGGGGCTCCTGGCGCACCACGCGCCTGCGCACGCGTGATGTTGGCCTGCACTGGCCTGCACAGCCACTCCAAGGGCTCCACTCTCCAACAAAGCAGGGCCGAGCTGGAAAACAGCAGAACAGGTTGGTCACCTGAGTAAAACCACCCAAGCTGCCAGATGGTTCCTGCCAACACAAACAATGGAGGCTAGCCCAAGTCAACTTCACCTTGATCATAGCCATCTATCAGGGGAACGCACAAAGCAGGTCGCAGTTTACATTGACTCCACCAGCCCTGATGGGTAACTGATAATTAAGTACCTCTGAGAGGCAGGCAGATCACTCTGGGATCCGAAGCCAGGTTCACACACCCAAATAAATTCCTTCAGGCTACTTCCGCATACCCCCAAAGACATCTTTGCTTTTATTTTGTCCTTGCTATTAACTTTATCTGTGCCTGCTCATATTCTTTTCTTTTTTCTATCATGTAGTTTACATACATATTTATGGAGTACAATGTGCCCTTTAAATACATGTGTGCAACGGGTTACGATCAGAGCTAGATAACTGGCATGTCTACCACCTCATATTTAGCTATCCTCTGTTGTTTAGAACATTCAACAGCAGGGCTCTGCTGGCTCCTATCTGAAATCCTAGTTACTCAGAAGACTGCATTCTAAGGATCATGGTTCAAAACCAGCCCGGGCAGACAAATCCAAAAGACTCTTATATTAATCACCAAAAAGCTAGAAGTGAAGCAGTGGCTCATGCGATAGTGTCAACCTTGAGCAAAGAACCTAAGTGACATTATCCAGGCCCTGAGTTCAAGCCCCAATTCCAGCATCAATCCCCCCACTCCTGGAAGAAAAAAAAACAAACCCTAAATCACACTCGAAATCTTCTCTACCAGCCATTTGAAATACAGAAGTTATTATCCCAGCCATAATCACCCTACTGTGCTATAATTAATTTGTTTCTCCTTAACTTCATCCACATATGGATAGTCATTTTCTCTCCATCCTCTCTGCTCAGAGTATTTGTTATTTAATAATAATGCATATTCATATATAGACAACATAGGGAGAGGGGAAAGAAACTTGAAGAAGAAAATGTATTTTCATCCACCAATAAATCTCATCACTTACCCAGTCAATTCTTCTCAGCAAATGTATTGACCAGTAGCTTAAGGCCACATACAGGGTCTGTACACTCTAGGCTTCTCCCTCTTTCTCTGATCTCATCCTCCCTGGATCACAGTCTTATGATCTAACTGTAAGAGCTAGAATTCAGAGATGAGCAGTCAGCAGCTATGAACAGAGAAAGTCAGGGCAAGACTAGATTTGGTTCTAGTCTTATTCTAATCAGTACAAGTACACATTTGGTACATGGTAGAACTCAGCTGGTTTTTAGCAACTGGGCATGTGCCAGATTGCTCTCTAGAGTCAAATGACATGTCTTAGGACTAACCTGATGGGCAAAGCCAATCAGTTTCTCATTGATTACCAGATCTGAAGATGGGATTCAGATTGCAGTTTTCTTACCCATGACTACCAAATCAATTGATTTTGTTATTAATTATTCCAATGAAGGCTTTAATGAATCATTTTAAAGGACAGTAATGAGTTTTATTTTTAATTAATTAATTGATTCTCTAATCAATTAACTAATGTGTGTTTGTGATGGGAGTCTTATTATGTTAGTCAGGCTGGTTCCATTTCCTGAACCCAAGTGATCTTCCCACCTCAGCCTCTTTAGTACTGGGAGTACAGATGTGTGCCACCTTGCCAGCCTGTAATGAATATTTAAATTGAGTTGTTTCTGGATTCGAAAGAGAATATAGGAGAATAAAAGAAAAAGAAGACAGAATACTTCTGAAACAAATGATAAAACTTTCATTGCCACAAAATGAGACCCACTTTTCCTATTACCTTCATACTTTCAAGTTCTTGGCATTTTGTGCTGGAAATCACTCTGACTGCTTTCCAACCTTGATTTGTACTTCTGTCAGTTTGTATGTGAAAACTCATTTTGCCTATCAGCACATTCTAGTTTAGGGTTCATGGTCTGGGAAAGACATATTTGGCAGCACATAGCTTACCTCTGACATGAAAAGGATCACAGACAACATCACAAGTCAGTAATTTTAAATTTTCAATACTATGTTTTATAATCTTTAAGCAGTTGTACAAAGGGATTTTAATTCAACAAGTCAGCTTATGAGTACACCACTCCCCTCCCACAATGCTATTTTAAGCATGACTTTCTTTCACTTTAAAATCTATTGGTCTCAAAAACCAACTATGCTAAAAATCAAGAATAAGCCATATTAATTTTTATTTGTTTATTTTATTTCAATTTTTGCAAGTCCTGGCGCTTGAACTTAGGGCCTGGGCACTGTCTCTGAGCTTTTGTTGCTCAAGGTTAGCACTCTACCACTTGAGCCACAGCACCACTTCCGGCTTTTTCTGTTTATGTGGTACTGAGGAATAGAACCCAGGACTTCATGCATGCTAGAAAAGCACTCTACCACTAAGCGACATTCGTAGCCCCATAGTGTTTATTTTTTATCTGCATGCATAAATCTTTTGGAAAAATCAGTAACAGTTCACTTTTTGCTCTGCTCACCTCTTGTTGACCCCTTCCTTTTTATTTTCATGATACCATTATTTCATTGCCCATTCAGCCAAAAGACATGCAGACTGGGAGCGAGTTTGAGGACTGCTATGTCCTTTATCCTGTCAATACAACACTTCTTCATCCTTGAGTCTAGATAGTCCTGCCCTGATGTGTTGGACCTGAACAATACTTAATACTTCTGTTTTTTTGTTGGTTTTTTTTTTTTTGCCATTCCAGGGGCTTGAATTCTGGGCCTGGTCACTGTTCCTGAACTTTTGTGCTCAAGGCTAGCATTCTACCACTTGAGACACAGTTTTACTTCTGGGTTTTTGTGGTTAATTGGAGATAAGAGTCTCATGGACTTTCGTACCCAAGTTGCCTTCAAAATGTGATCCTTTCAACCTTCTGAGTGGCTAAGATTATAAGAGTGAGCCACCAGCTCCTAGTAATATATTTTACATGCATTTATTTCAAATGTTAATATTAGGACTATAATATAAAGTTTGCACTGTTAATATAAAAATGTAGTAATATGGCCTTCAGTTTGCCCTATCCGTATTGTGAAAGGGCATATTGGGAAGAATTTTCTGACTACATTTAGGGTCTTAGGAATTCTTTAACAAATGTGTTTCTTGACCAACATTTAGTTTATTTGGTTTCGTCCCATTGTTGAAGTCCTAAAAATCACAGATTCATTACATCAGTTGTTGTTGTTCTTGTTGCTAAGTTTGTCCTTGACAGAAAGCTATTTCCTGTTTTCCAATCCATGACTTCAAAAGCTCCATACAGAGCCAGCCACAGTGGTGCATCTATAGTCCCAGCTATTAGCAACTGAGGCAGGAGGATGATCACTTAAGCCCAGGAGTTTGAGACTAGCCTGGCAACTTAATGAGACGTCTGAAAAAGGTAAATAAAATAAAATAATTAAATAAAAAATTAATGACCATAAAGAGAACCACAAAGTCCAGGAACATGACATAAATCTTTATGACTTTATCATAAGATAAAATGGGTAAAATCTCATAAAGAATCACATGAATAAAAAAAGAGTTCCAGAAAATATTATTGTGTGTTGGTAGGTTAATCTCAGGTATTATCTTCTAAATCAAGATTTTATTTTTGATTCACTTGTGAACTTTTGACTATTTGCCCTGGAAGTCATCATAGATCACAAGAGATCTTTGGTCACAGAGGTTAGGGGAAGCACAGGAACTTCTGACAGATTTATTACAAGTCATATATTACAGCTGGATGACACACATTTCCTTTTGAACTATTCCATTAACATTGTCCTTTTCCCCATTGAAGCTTGTCTAATTCACATTGATATACAGCATTCTAAAATATTCTCTGTATCTAACTTGGTTACCAGCTGTTACCAGAAGCTGGTAGATTGTGTTACCTGGGCAGCTAGAGGCAAGATTGCCCTACAGTCCAAGCTTGTCACAGCTTCTTAACTACTGATAGGATTCCATCACATCATCTCATCCCATGCAAGGGAAGGAAGGCTAGAATCCATGGATTCAGGAAGCTCCTCAAGCTTTTTCTTCTCTTTTTTCTTTAAACTCAGACCAGGTTTCCCGAAGAAACAATCCACATCATGAGATATGGGTTTGAAAGCAAGTCATGTCTTTGGGAAGTGATTCCAGGAAGCACCAGAAGGGAGTAGAGCCACAAAGTAGATATCTAGGTTGCCACTGGAAGGTTGAGTGGGCACCTCTAGAACTCAGCTCACTGGGAAGTGAAATAATGGATAGTCCAGAATATAAAGAATGACTGAGCCCTTCTTGACTTACCAACTCATCTATCCCAAGAGCTTTCTGGTTCTCATAAACCCCTAAACCCAGACGCAGGGGAGTGGCCAAGAACAGCTATATATTTCAGTGATGAACCAACACATAAGAGTGCAGCACATTTTCTCATGACCATATAGTTTGGACAGCAAGTCATATGCAAGCAAAATTCCCTTAGAAGATATATGTTATTTTAGGGGTGGGGGGAAGTATTTACTTTGTAAACTCATTTCATTGGGGTTTCAAAAGCATCCTTATCTTTTAAAACTTAAATTTGTATCTTCTTTTTTTCTAGTTTACATGATGTGTAAAATTCTATTTGTCTAATGAATTCCATGGCTTTGCTAGCATTTCTTTATCTAGTTATGTCTGTAAATCATTCAGGACTAGATAACACGGAGGTAAAAATACTGATCAGTTCACAGGAGCTTTTTGAAGGGTAACTAGGGCCTTGGACAATACAGTCTCTTTTGGTTCTCAGAGAACCCATGGCAAGGTTGTATAGAAAAGGAACAGATGGCAGATATTTAAAATTGTGTTACCATGACATGAGTGTGTTTATGAGGATGCTGGCAGAGGTGGGGGTAGGGGAGAAATGTTTTCATTTTCCTTCCACAGAGTATCAAGAAGTAATAGCTATGCATAAATGGGTATAGCTGTGAGCAAATAAAGTATATAGAGAGTATTTCTATAGAAACTATTATGACTATTTGAACTTGATGTGGAGGAGAAAGCAGTTGGTTGTGGGTGGCCTTAGACATTGAGATGGCACAAAGCCAAGCAAGCAAGGCTAAATTACAGAGGAGAGCACTTGACTCTGTGTGATTAGCTAAGGAGACACTGCTACAAGAAAACGAGAACAAGGCTTTATGCTGAAGAAGAAATGATCTAAACAGTAGTTTACAAAGCAAAGTACTAGTTCTTGAATAGAAGGTTAATTTGTGGTTCTCTGTAGGCTGTGAATATGCATGCATATGTGTGTGTGTGTGCGTGCGTGTGTGTGTGTGTGTGTGTGTGTGTGTGTTGCACCATCACGAAAGGCATTAGAAAAACACCTTTTCTTATTTATTCATTGGTAGGTACCTACGGAGAATACTGTGTTCAGTTCTGTTGGTACAACTCACCAAACTGTGAGTGGATCTGGAGAAAATCCAGCCAACTGCAAAATGAAAGGTGTCCATGGAGAGCTAAACTAGAGTCCCTTGTGTTTGCAAGTTCATGCTGGGAGTGAAAGGAACATTTGGAAATGGTATGACAGCAAGTGGTACTGAGAAAATAAACACAAAATCCTTTCGACCATCTTTTGAAACTCATGAGTGAGGGAAATTGCGATCCAATAAAAGGGAATACCCCCCTTCACACTACAGATAATAAAATGAAAGGAGGTGCTTGTTACTTGTAAGATGTAGTACTGGAAGGGGATGTAAATATATTAGAAAGGACTTGAAGGACAACCAAGAGAGGTTAAAGAGGTCCTTAATTTTAAAGCATAGAAAATAATGTTCCTTCCAGGTGACACCTCCTGGATTCACCATTGCCAGAAAACCACGCTAGTCTTGGTTGAGAACCCCAGTGCTTTTGACTATAGGAGCCTCTGATTTGCCCCTCTCGTCCTGCTCTCTTTCTCTCTTTCTCTGGACCTTCACTCAGTGTTTTGGCTTCTACTAATGAGCAGACTACATCTAGTCATGTAGAATGTTACGTAGGGAGGACTTAGCCAATGCCTTTTTATTTATTCTTTCATGCATTCAACAAATACTGAATACTTAGTGTGTGCCAACTACCAGATATCAAATAAAAAATTATCACAGTCTTTGGAAGCAACAACAAATTATAGAGCTGTGACAAGGCAAGAAATAGCAAACTTCAAGAGAAAGTATAGTGTTGAGGAAAGGACCTTTCTTATCAAGAAGAGCTCCTGAACTAGACACCAGTGCCTCATTCCATTGATTGTAGCTACTCAGAAGGCTGAGATCTGAGAATCACAGTCAAAGTCAGCCCAAGTATGAAAGTTCTTGAGACTCTTATCTCCAGTTAACCACCAAAAAGTTGGAAGTGGACCTGTGGCTCAAGTGGTAAAGCCTTGAGCAAAAAAGCTCAAAGACAGGCTCAGGGACCAGGCCTTAATTTCAAGCCATAGGACTGGAACAAAAATAATAAATAAATAAAATAAAAAAGGCTTGGATGGATCTAGAGCTTATTGTATTGTCAGGTTTCATTAGAAAGTAAGCACTTCAGTTCCTCAAGAGACTAAACATAGTGGTCCCCTATGATCTAGCAATCCCACTGCTGGGCTTTTACCCAAACAATCACAAACAAGGCAACACTAAAATTACCAGGACAACTATGTTAATTGCAGCATTATTTACCACAATTAAGATATGGAACCAACCCAGATGCCCCTCGGTAGATGAATGGATCAAGAAAATGGGGTATTATACACAATGGAATTTTATGTTTCCATCAGAAAGAATGATATCGCCCCATTCGTAAGGAAATAGAAAGATGTGGAAAAATCACATTGAAATGAAGTAAGCCAAACCCAAAGAAACATAGGCTCTGTGGTTTCCCTCATTTGTAATAATTAGTATATGTCTAAGATAATCCTAGCAGAGGATCACAAAAGCTCAATAGTTATGTACATATGACTATATAAAATGATGCTAATTGAAATGAACTCCAAGATATCTAAACAAGAGGTTTTTTGTTTTTAATGTACTATGTGAAGTTATTCCTTTTTGGTTTTTTCCCTCCTCTTTGGTTTATCCCCTGTTGTCACTGGTTTTGATTTTGGTACCCTGCTTGTATATATATATATATATATATATATATATATATATATATATATATATAATTTGGGGAAGGGAAGGGGAATAACAAAATGTTGAGACAAAGGACAAAAGTTGAACTAATGCAACAGCAATACTCAGGAGAACTATGTTGGAAATGAACTTTACAACTTTTCAGGGGAGGGAGTCGGGGGGAGTGGGGGAGAGAGAAAGTGGGAGAAAACAAGGAAGGGGTAACAATGTTCGACAAGAAATGTACTCATACCTTACTTATGTAACTGTAATCCCTCTGTACATCACCCTTACAATACAATAAAATAAAATAAATAAAAGAAAGCTCCTTTCACCACGCTTGCCTAACCTTTCCCCACTCACCTAGAATGCCTAAATCTCTTCAGAGCCGACGATATCCCCCCACCTTCACGGTCACCCCCCCCTCCCCCGTTCACTGTTTATCCTCCGTGCTTGGCACAGCTAATCATGACCGTCTCAGTGACCCCTTCTGCTGAAGACCTCTCTGTTACTCTTAAGGATTAGGTTGCCCAGAACTTCCTTTGCAAAGTCTTCCTTGAATTCCTCAGCTCTAGGTTTTTCCTCCCAGATCACCTATTTTGGTCATAATTCTCCTTCATCCCCAATTTCAGTTTCAGGAATCCACAGCAAACCATTGTTTGAGCATATTAAATTGAAAACTTCCAGTAATAAATAATTCATAAGTCTTGAACTGCACATTGTTCTGAGTAGTGTGATAAAATCTCGTACCATGCTTCCCTGTCTCACCTTGGATGTGAATCATCCCTTTGTCCAGTGTATCAGTGCTGAATAGGCTACCCTGTCACAAGTCACTTTGTAGCCATCTTCTTCGTTATCAAATCAACTGTGGAATATCTGTAGTTTGTTTTATGTTTAAGTAATCTTTACTTCATAGCAGTCCTAAAGCACAATAATAACTATGTAAAGCCATCACCAGGGCATAAAACATGGGAGGATAGATTAATGTGGACAGCTATATGACAGCATTGCAATGATACAGAAAAAGTCACAGTAGACCTAGAGTTAGCATTACCTATCTTTTCAGGCATCCACTGGGTGTTTTGGGATGCACCACCTGCAAATAGGAGGGGACTACTCTATTGAGCATGTTACACTCATTTTTGCATGTATTCCTGGCTAGATGAGGAACTCCATCTCCAATATCTTTCCATCTCTGTGCATAGACTTGGATATGTTATCTGCACTACATAAATCCTATGATTATCTTTCAAATATAGACAGGCTCCTTGTGAGCGAATGACTGCAGAAGTGGGAGGAGCTTTTCTTGAGTCATGCAGGTCAGGAGGCAAGAGGTTTAAGAGGCTGTGAGGGATGTTGGGGGACATCTGGCTTGAGGATGCTTCATTTCCTGAATACCTGCCTTTCCTCCCTTAATTTTAGAGGTATAATACCACGCTCTTGGAGCAGAACCTACAAGGAAGTTTATCAAAAAGAAAATCTCTATTCACAAGGTAAATCATTAGCTCTGAACTAGAGTCAACAAATCAGGTTTTCTGAGCATCAGGCCTAGGGATTGGTCTGGCCTGGGCCTGGGAGCCCCTTCCCTTGGCCAAAGGCAGAAGCACTCAGCCCCATGTGGTCTCCTGCTCTCAGGGCCTGAATACCCCATGCTGGGATCCTGAAGCTTGAATGGGTGTGGGCTCACAAAAGGTGTGGGCTCTGGGGCAGTGAGACTAAGAAGGAGCGTTGCCACTTTTGACTTTCAGAGCTAACTTCTCTCAGATGAACACTCTGGTTCTTCAGGACTGTGCTCACCATGTCTTCCCTTACTTTTTAACCCAATCAAGCCAGCATTTACTGCACTCTCCAGAGTGGAGAGGGTCTGTGAGCTAATGTGGGAAAGACCCGACTCGAAAAGAAAACCAGCAAGATGAAAAAACACAACAGGAGCTGGTTGTGAGTCACACCTATAATCCTAGGTACTCAAGAGGCTGAGACCTGAAGACTATGGTTCAAAGCCAGCTCAGGCAGGAAAGTCTGTGAGACTCTTATCTCCAACTTAGCCACCAAAAAAGCCGGGAGTAGAGCTGTGACTCAAGTGGTAGAGTGCCATGCGTGAGCAAAAAACCTCAGGGACAATGCCCAGGCCCTGAGTTAAAGTACAGGACCCCCCCCCCCCCCCCCGACACACACACATACACATATACACACACAGACACACGGGACTTTGAAATAAAAATCTTGAGGCTACATAGGTAAAACCGAATCCTAAGAGCATACTGAACTGAGCTACATCATAGAGTCCAGAGGTGAAGAGTCCTCAGTTCTCCCAGAATTTGCTCTTTAAAGAGAAGGGCCCTCTCCATGCAAGTGTAACCCAAAGTGGGATGGATACACTTTCTTTCTCTGGCCATCACTCCAAAGATCCCTGGAGGTTCACTGAATCTAGCTGAGCCTGGCCTAAGGGCTCCGCCCTGGCAGTGACATCTTTCCAGAACTATGCGGCCCTACCTAGCTGGAGCTCCTGAGTCACAGAGAGGATCTCAAATTCTTCCAAAGGATGAGCAGAGGGCCCTAGCTGCAGCCAGCCAGACCCTGCTGGGGAGGGGTGCTGCGGAGCTGTCTTAGCTGGGGAAACGGAGAGGCCCTAAGCGGACTGAGCTGGGTATGCTGGATGGAGGTGGCTGGGATGGGCCGGAAGGGATGGATTGGACTGGACGCGCTGGAATGGAAGGGACTAGGAGACCTCTAGCTTTGGGGCTGCAGACCAGTGCCCAGCTCTATGCCAGCTGGCTGTGGGCGAATGGCTGGTGTCGCTCCCCGGGCCCCCCGGCCACCCACCTGGGCATGCCCTGGCGTAGTCGAAGCAGCAGTCCCCAGCGAGGCGGCAGGCTTGGTCGCAGAAGCAAGTCCCGTAGACCCTGTCCAGCCTCCAGCCTCGGGCAAAGCAGGCTGGGTCCCGGCCCGGGCAGCAGCGCCCGGCCTCGGCGCAGCCCGCTAAGACCCCCGGCCACAGTCGCGCCAGCGCGCACAGCACCAGCCACAGGGCCCTCGTGGCCATCGCTCCGACGGCACCTGCCAACGCCACGGACCCTGGGGACAAGCGCTCGGCTCGCACCAGCCCCGGAGCCGCCAGAACCGTCCGTCCGAAAAGCACCGGTCGGCCGGGCCCCGCGCCGCCGCCCCCGCCCTCCGCGGCCCTGGGTCCTCGGCCCTCCGCCCTTCCCCGCGGCCCCTCCCCAGCCTGGCCCCGCGCCCGACGGGCTCCGGCTTGGGGTGGCCCCAGCCCAGGTGGGACGCGCCCACAGCCCGCGCTAGGGCGCCACCCACTCCTCGCGGCTGCCAGCCTGTGGGCCGGCCGCGCCCCAGCCCCGCGCGGGGCACGGCCCAGGGGAGGGGGAGACCGGAAAGCAGGTGCTCCGCGGGCGGGAGAGGGGTGTGGGGAGCCGGCTGCGTCCACGAACCCGGCCCAGAAAGACTTCTTCTTCTTTTTTTTTTTTCTAAATTTTTCCGGCTCCAAACTTTCTTGATCTCTGGGGACCAATTAGGGACCACTGGACCGAGCGCCTAACGGATGTCACCAGCACCCACCCTGACCTGGTGCAGCCACCCATTCTACAGCGTTCTACAACTTTCTGCGCCTCCTTCGGACCCAGAGAAGGGGAGATGAACTGGGGACGCAACTACTTTTTTTTTTCCCTGCGATTTATAGTGGGATTTTTCTGCCCCAGGAAAACACCACTCTCCTAAGTGACACTTAATCAATGTTTAGGATAATAACTATGAAATGTAAATAACGAAGTAATCCCCCTCGATTGTATCTTAGTCTCTGGTCGCTTTCCCGAACTTCTGGCTCAAGGCTAATAGTCTACCACCTGAACCACAGCTCCACTTCCAGCTTTTTTTTTTCTTTTTTCTTTTTGGTGGGTGATTGACGATGAGTCTCACTGGCTTTCCTACCTAGGCTGGCTTCAGTGATTCTCAGATCTCTGCCTCCTGAATAGCTAGGACTACAAGCTTAGCCACCAGTGCCCGGTGGTAACTCCCATTTTAACAGACTATTTGCCTATCTCTAGGTTTTATTCCGTTGTTTGTTTACCTGTTTTTTCTTTTGTTTTTGAGGGACTGGGGATTGAGTACAAGCTTTCTGAGCAAAACTCCCAAGCCTTACTTTTTAGATGTAGTTTCTTGCCTTTCTCTCTCCAAATGCATTATATTCTCCATTCCCTTTCTTTTTTACTCACTAAAATGTATTCTACAATGTTCATTTTATTATGTTCTTCAGTCATTTAAACTAGTATGTTATTGTGAGAAATGTTTTCTGCTTCCATGAATCTAAGATCGCAAATTAAATTCAGACACTAATTTTCTTCCTTATTCCTTGGAGGAATAACAAAAATGCCAAAACTAAAAATGAAAAAGAAAACCACTTCACAACAAAATTAGTAAATATATATATAGCAATCAAATCTAAAAAATAAATCCATTATATAAGAATCATATCTTGTCAACTCAAACCACAAATAGTCTGAACAACGTAGAACATAATCTTACTTTATCATCCAAAGAAAATATACTCTAAAGTCAAAAAGAGATTCTTTGTGGGTTTATACAAATAAACTCAGCTTTGGAAAACTTTTGTTTTCTTCTTTGGGTAAATCTCTTGTCCTTTTGTAGTTTAAAGAAACAGTCCATACTTCTCTATTTTTCTGTATTCTTAGTTCTTCATTGTTGGAACTCAATAATCTTGACAGCAAATTATTCCTTCTACCTTCTATTCAAATTCTACATTTTTATTAGGAGTTTTTAACTGACTGGTTCACACACACACACACACACACACACACACACACACACACACACACACACACACACACCTTCTTTTGGCTGTCTGCTTCATGGGTTGCCTTTAGGCAGATAATTATTCTTTAATGCCATAACAATCTGGAATGGTTCCAGGACAAAGTAAAGGAAAATGATCCACTGACAAGTTCCTTTTCTGGAATAAAACATAAAACAAAGTGCTAACAGGAAGGAGACAATCTCTGGCACAACAGAAGTAAAAATCAAATGCCAAATGCTTGCTCAGATTCCATATTTTTCACTCTATTTTTTCCTTTTACACACAGACAGCAACCAAAACCAAAAAGTCTTGAGATGGGATTAGTATGTTTCTCACTGGTAGACACTTGCCCAGCTAGTAGGAGGTCCAGTTCTGATGCTGTTTTACTAGTGTGCAACACAGAGAAGTAGCACAAAGTAAGAGAATGAATATATATATATATAGATAGATAGATAGATAGATAGATAGATAGATAGATAGATAGATAGATATAGAGAGAGAGTCAGTTGTGGGGCTTGAACACTGGGCCTGGGCGCTGTCCCTCAGCTCTTCAGCTTAAGGCTAGCGCTCTACCACTTGAGCCACAACACCACTTCCAGTTTTCTGGTGGTTGACTGGAGATAAGAGTCTCATGGACTTTCCTGTCCGGGCTGGCTTTGAACCACAATCCTCAGATCTTAGCCTACAGGCATGAGCCATCAGCGCCCAGCTTTGAATGACTAATATTTTAAAGCCAACATATTAAGAATTTTGTCTCCGGTTAAAATGGTGAAAGAAACTTCACGTTTGAGCTTACACAATCACCTTCAAGCTTACATGATCTTGAATCCACCACAATGAGCATCCCTACCCCCACTACCCTCATCAGGCAGTGGGGAAGGCAGCATTCCTGACAGTACCAGGCAAAGTCAGGGGACACTGACATTTATGGCAATGCCTTCATGTCCTTACTGGAAACTAGATGCAGTCAAATGTAACAATGGGTGGCTTTGTTTTCCATGCTATGTGGATGTGGGGAGAACAGAAACCATCTAGCAATCGTGCGGATGAACATGGAAAGTCATCAAATTTACCTTAAAAGACATCCTTTCTTCTGAAGTGTTGTCTCTGGACATTGTCCAAGATTGGTAAAATTATAGAGGGGAATGGAGACTTATCTGTTTATCAGGTCCTGAAATACAGTAATTTGAAAGGACCTCCACCTACATGATCTCACTCCATCCTGCTTAACTGTGAGGAAAATATTAGCACTTCTATTTTGCAGATGACAGATCAGACAGGTAGCTAATTAGTGAAAAAACAAGTCTAGAGCTAAATTATTCTTTCCAAACCACTGCAAGTTTCTTCCCATAACTTAAAGGATGCAGGAGAGGGTAGGGAAGGAAGATGGTAATAAAAAATAGAGACAAGTAAAGACATTTGCAAGTCCATGTTCATTGCTGCACTACTTGCAATAGCCAAGTTATTGAAACAGCTCAGATGCCCACAACAGATTCATGGATAAACAAAATGTGGCATATACACACAATGAAATTTCACTCATCTCTTAGAAAGAATAATATTATGTCATTTGCAGGGAAATGAATAGACTGAACAAGTCATGCTAAGTGAAGTAAGCCAAGCTTCAAGAGACAAACAGCGCATGTTTTCTTGCATATGTGGAAGCTAGATCTAAAATACAACTGGAGATAAGAACCTATGCAGGACTCTAAGCATTCATGCAGAGACTAAAGGAGGATAACTTTAGGGGAGGAACACAAAGGTGTAACTTCTTTGAATGTTTAAAATATTATGGAGACAAATTCCTGTAAATGGAAATAGGTGTTTGTTGGTGGCAGTAGTGGTGGTGGTAGTAATGGTTGCTTTGGGTTTTTTTCTTCTGGTGGGGGCCGGGAGTGAAGGGGAAACTGAAAGGGAGAGAGGAAGAGTGAAATAATACAATCATGCTATTCACTGTGGAAAATAACCTAAATAACTTGTAGACAGGGATGGAAAAGGGAAAGTAGGGGAAAATGAAGGAAGAGGTGACATCACCCCAAAATGCACTGATCACCAGACTTATGAAATGGCAGCCTTTCTGTACAACACTTTAATAATAACAAAATTATATTTTAAAAAAGAAAAGAAAGACAAGTAAAATTAAGCTCTGCATTAAAGGTTATAACTTGGATATGTGGAAATCGAAATACAAGTAATTTCCTAAGAGAGTATAAGATACAAGCTTTATGTTTTTAATCTAGGAAAGGTGGATAAGGAGTTAGTTATTAAAATAGCTAGGATATTACGAAGTCTTGAGACTCTCTTGGGATTGACAAATGTGACAATTGATACAATTTGGAAGTATCTGTCAAAGGTAGAATATTTCATGAGTCAAATTTTGTTTACTATGAGATACCTTTCATTGTAAGATGTGCAATTTTATGACCAAAAAATTACTTATGAAACTATGATGCATGCTTATATACAGATTGTAAGATGAATTTCAGTTGCAGAGATGTGCATCCTAGAATCAAGGAAAAACATAAACAGATAAGTAGTCTTATTACACACTTTCTGGATGACTATAGGGTCGATATTGCAAAAGAGGAGAGTCAGAGGGAGTAAGTGAACTGTATGGTGTCTCTTGGGTTAACATGCTCTCAATCTCAGAACTAGTGATGATCATCTGGTTGTAGTCATTCTCTTCCTGAGGTAAGATGGTATTCCAGGCTGAGGAGTAGCAAAAAGTGGTAAAAAAAAAAAAAAAAAAACCTTCCTCTCAGAAGACTAAAATCTAATGGGGGAATTTAGACATGCACAGTCCTTATAGCATCTTTTGAAGATATTTGATAATAATTGAAAAAAAGGAAGAATGTCTAAAGCTAGATAGACAGAAGATTTTGAATTTGGATTATAAAGTTCAATCTTGGGTTACTGTTAGCTCTTTTTACTTTCTGCCTTGAAACTACAGAGCCAACCACTAGAAAAATCTCCAGTGACTTTTGGAAAGTTCCTTCCTGGGGCTGGGAAGGTAGCTCAGTGGTAGAGCGCTTGCCTTGCATGCCTGAGGCCCTGGGTTCGATTCCTCAGCACCACATAAGCAAAAAGAAAAAAGCCAGAAGTGGCACTGTGGCTCAAGTGGTAGAGCGCTAGCCTTGAGCTGAAGAGCTGAGGGATAGCGCCCAGGCCCAGAGATCAGGCCCCACGACCGGACCAAAAAAAAAAAAAGAAAGTTCCTTCCTTGGTTGGATGGTATCTATTCATTTAATAATAGCAAAACATGAAGACAAGTATCCAAAGAAGCTTAAGGTTGGTGTGCATAGCATACCAGGAGAGCTTCTTCCACTAACACCTTATAGCAAGTAATCAAGGGAATTGCTCCCAAGGTCTCTGCTGCCAGTTCTATAGTTTTAATCCTATTGGTTAAATAAATGCAGTGTGGTTATGGAGGTAAACTCATTGGTTGCCTATAAAAGATCAGGCTTTCCTTCTGATTTTTCTAATACCCTTCAGAATTTCCTTTTCAGAGGCACGTTTACCTCTAAGAATGGGCCTTTTGGGTTAATTTTCTCCTGAAATTAACTACTCAGGAATTAATCCAATTCAAGTCTTTTAAGTTCAGGACACTTGTTCACTAGATACATTGGTTTTTAGCTCTATCCTTACTGGGGGATGAATGAGACCATAACCCACACAATGCAGAGATTTCAGAGCCAGGGAATAATAGGGCTTTCTATAAATGACCCTTGAAGTCCATCAGCCTCTTCTCAATCCCCTGCTCCAATGAGTCCCTCTTATTTATTTCAATTTTAGTTGTAATATTTGTGGCTTAAAACAAAAGCATTCAACAAAGGTGATAGGGAAAGCATAAAGAGCTCAGGGACCAGGCAAGGCAGGGAGACGAAGGGCTGGGTTTTTGTTTGCTTGGTTGATTGGTTTCTGCTAGTTGTGAGGCTTGAACTCAGGGCCTGGGCATTGACCCTCAGCTTCTGTGCGCTTCTGTACTCAAGGTTAGCACTTTACCACTCGAGCCAGAGTTCTACTCCCCCACCCCGGTCGCCCCCTCCCCCCCCCCCCCCCCCCCCCCCGACCTCCTCCATGGTTACTTGGAGATGAGTCTCACAGACTTTCCTGCCCAGGCTGGCTTTGAACTATGATCCTCAAATCTCAGCCACCTGAATAGTTAGGAGGGGTGAATCTCAGGCACCTAGCCAAGAGCTCGGGTTTTTAAGAGAAAAGTAGATTTGAACTGTGGCTCTTTGCTTACCAATCATATAACATGAAATGAATTTTGTCAACTCTTCAGGCTTTAGCTTTCTGCTAAATGAGATGAGAAGATGATCCAATTTATGCATGCCTAGTATAGTTTCTGCTACATAAAAGTGAGTTGGTAATTATTTTGTTTTTGCCTTGGATTTTTCTCAGGGGTGGGAAATGTCTGACCTGACAGCTGTACATGGCCCACAAAATCATTTCACACATGACAAGACAGACATGAAATGCTTTTTGTTGGCTGACCAAGGCCCCTATAACTATACTGATAATTGTGTGTGTCCTTACTGATGTTATAGTCACTGCCCTTGGCAGTGAAACGTTCCCTATTCCTATTCGAAGTGATTGAAACATCTCTGTACTATTAATCCAAATTGGTGTTGATCCTGCCAGTGAATTATCTTGAGCAGTTCATTTAATCTTTCTAGATCTCAATTTCCACCTAATTGGACACTATGAACCTAGAATACCTCCAAGAATCCTCTTAGTTCAAAAAGTACAATCATTAACTTAGATAGCATTATCAATCACAGCAAAGAGGTCTCCTACTTTCCTTTGACCCTAGTGTTAGCCTGCAAGTAACACAGAAGAGAAAGTGAATCTTCAAAGTCCAGGTCTCTTCAAGCTAATGTAAGAGAGCTAATATGGAGGCAGGCATTTTTTTTTTTGACAGTCCTGGGGCTTGAACTCAGGGCCTGGGTGCTATCCCAGAGCTTCTTTTTGCTCAAAGCTAGTGCTCTACCATTTGAGGCACAGTGCCACTTCCAGCCTTTTCTGTTTATGTGGTACTGAGGAATCGAACCCAGGGCTTCATGCATGCTAGGCAAGCACTCTACTTCTAAGCCACATTCCCAGCCCAAGAGGGGGGCATTTCTATTTACAAATCAATTACAAGTTCAACATGAATTTTGTATGGATATTATGTTGGTCAGTTTTATTTTACTATAACAAAGTAGTTGAGGTGATAACTTAAAAAGACAAAAGGCTTATTTCAACTCTTGATTCTGAAGATTCTAGTACAAGATTGAAAGGCTTGGTTGCTTTGTGCTTTGACCTCTAGCAAGGATAATACATCCTGGTGGAAGTGGATGGCACAGCCAACCGTTTACCTCAAGAGCCAGGGAACAGGGTAAGGTAGAAAGAGAAAGAAAAGGGGATCTCACAACTTTCCTTATGGTCATGCTTCTAATGATGACCTAAGGACCTCATTTTTAGCCCCACTTCCTCAAAATCCTTTCCATCTCAAAGTGCCACCCTGGGAGCCAAGCCTTTAACATATGGACCTTTAAGAGATGCTCATCTAACTATATCTACCTGTCACAGAGATTATTAAAACATGACATGGTTTGTTTGTCTTTCAAAAGTGAAAAAAATAGATTTAGGGATCAGGATTTAAATCAGGATTCATTTTTTTCTCTATTAGTTACTACCTGTATGTACTCCTAGGAAAAACATTGAATTTTTCAGTGCTTAGAATCTCAGCTATAAAATGAAAGGCTTTGAGGGGCTTTACAAGGCAAACCCACTTTATAAAAAATCCTCTAACGCCAGGTGCTGGTGGCTCATGCCTGTAATCCTAGCTACTCAGGAGGCTGAGATCTGAGGATCGCAGTTCAAAGCCAGCCTGGGCAGGAAAGTCCACGAGACTCTTATCTCCAATAAACCACCAGAAAACTGGAAGTGGAGCTGTAGCTCAAGTGGTAGAGTGCTAGCTTTGAGCTGAAGAGCTGAGGGACAGCGCTCAGGCCCAGAGTTCAAGCCCCATGACCGAACCAAAAAAAAAAAAAAAATTCTCTAGTTCAGGAGTAGGTAACATGCCCATTTTTGTATGGCCTGGGGGTTAAGAATGTTTCTACTTTTTTTAACACAAGGAGGTAAAGTCAAAAGAAGAATATTGTTTTGTGTCATGTGAAAATTATATGAAATATAAATTTCCATTTTTCTTTTTAAAAAATAGCTTAAAATGAGTCTGCTTATTGAAATTCTTCTAGAAGGAACCCAGAATAGTTTCTTGAATTACAGCTTTTGGCAATGAGTAAAAGTCACAATAATAATATGCTCAACTTTCCATAGGAGTTTATATTTTCCTGGGGGAGAATCTATTTTCCTAGACAGACACCCATTTGGATAAAATATATATCAGACTCTTTTTCTAGAGTGCCCAAAATTATATGATTTCTATAACTTTAGACAAGAGTTGTAAAATAGAAGAATGCACCAATTTAAATGTTCAAGAGTCCCTACTTTTGATAAGAGGGGAAGAATTTTGCTAGGAAAGATTTAAACTGAAATCCAGGCAAATAAACCTTCATCTTCAGGCTCTTCTTTAATATTCTGTAACAAGTGGCTCATTTAAATCTGATAATGTGGTTTCAAGACCCCAGGGCATTTTGTACAATTTTATTTTCATAATTCCACAATCAACTCTTAACAAGTAAGTTTACTTAGTTTGGTTTAGTTAGAGTGCTGGAGATCAAGTCCAGGGCTTTGTGTATAATAGGCAAGTACACTTGCCATTGAGCTAAATCTCCGGTCCTTAGTTTTGTGAGACAGGATCTTGTTATGTAGCTCAGGTTAGTCAGGAACTCCTAAGGGCAGGGATTACAGGTAAGCATCCCCACACCCAGTTTATTTGCTACTTTCTCATCTACCATTTTATTTGTTTGTTCATCTCCCTTGTTTTCTTTCCACAAATTCCAGCGGCTAATCTTCTAAGAGTGCTTATTCCCAGTTGGGCACCAGTCGTCCCCAAACTCAAAAGGAATGACAGGTACCAGCCTGGAAAACAGTCAGAAACAGGGCAAATGTAGCCATCGGCTTCCAATGAGCTTGCCTGACCACATGAGGCAGGTGCAGTGGGAAGGACCGCAGAGGGTGAGTGGTTACTTCACCACCATCTTGGCTGGATGATAAGCTGAGCTGAACCCAAGGCGCTAAGGTCAGGACTGCCAGATCTGGCAATGAGGAGCTTGCCGCACTGCTGGGCAGCCACACCAGCTCCTCTACCTGCTCCCTGTAACCTGGCTTACATTCAGAGTCTGAATGCTGACCACTAGCTTTTTTTGCTGAAGGTTGGCACTCTACCACTTGAGCCATACCTCCACTTCCAGTTTTTTGCAGGAGATAAGAGTTTTGTGGACTGTCCTATCTGGGCTGGCTTCAAACTGGGATCTCAGATCTCAGCCTCCTGAGTAGCTGACAGGCATGAGCCACCATGCCTAGTGCATTTAAAATGTTATCTTGAAACAGACTATGCTGTTTTAGTGCATTTTCTGTCTTGATAGGGGAAATAAACTGGACAATTCATAAGGAATAGATGCCTACTTGAGCCTATGCATCAGGGAAATTCAAGACAGCACCAGTACTTCTCAGCTTCTAGTGAAGGCCTTCTTACTGAATCAGAACATAGACAACTGTTGTCCCCCATATTCAGACAGAGCAACTGAGACAGAGCAAATGAGCCAAGCTCACTTTTACAACCAAAGCCATTAGTTCGTTCGTCCATTCATGAAGGTAGAATCCTCATGACCCAATTGTGTCCCAGAAGTCACACTTATTAACATTGTTGCATTGGGAATTAAGTTTCTAGTACAAACTTTTGGAGGTCACATACCAAGGATATCACATGCAGAAATTAGTTCTAACTGCTTCAAGCTACCAGGGAAGAAGTGAGTAGTTACAGCAGACCAAAGCTGTAACATCTACAAGCCTAAACTCTTGCTTGAGCAGCTATAGAAAAGTCTATTGACCTGTAGCCAATTAGCTCTAAAATTCTGTGAACTAGTCTACATTCAACGCTGCAAAGTACTTTGCATATATCCATATGTTAGGGGTGCTCGTAAAATACCATTCTGAAATTAAAAAGGCACAGCCTGAAAACTCATGCTAGAAAATACTGTTTACCATGGCCAAGCTATGGGCAATGCCAAGATTAATCCTGTGCTGCTAGAAAATTCTTTGGAATTATAAGCATAGCTAAAAAGTAAAAAGGGAAAAATCATCTGGATAACATTAAAGAAGTCATGTAATTTTGCTTCTTTTACAGTAAAATAGCCTCTGATCCACAGCCGGGATTTCAAAAATATATATAGCAAATTGTTGTTTCTTCCTACATGAAAACCTTCACTGTGTCAGCACAGGGCACAAAGCTCTAAGACAGTGCCTCACAAGCCAGAGAGAAGAATGTCCCTACTCCATTTAGTCCTACAAATAAGTGGAAGGGAGTGCACTACTGACCAGCAGGCAGCCCTGCGTGGGTGTGAAGGCAAGCTATGCTGCATGTTATGACTTTGACCTTGATCCTAGATGTTTGCAGGGAAGAAAATGTGTTCTTTGCACGCTAAGGCTCTAGATAGTCTCATTATTGGGAAGAATAGAGCTAACATTTGTTAAGACCTATTTGGTACCCGGAGCTGTACTGAATACTTAATGTATCTTATCTTGTTGGACTCCTTACTCTTCATCGGTGAGGAAAGTGAAGTTTGATGATGATAAATAACTTGCCTCAATTGGAGATACTCAATCAGTCCTATGCAATTTTAAGACTTCCCATTTTCTACACAGAAAATATCATATAATTAAAAACTGGTTTTCTTTTTTTCTTTTCTCTTTTTTGACAGTCCTTGGGCTTGAACTCAAGGCCAGAGCACTGTCCTTGAGCTTCTTTGGCTCAAGGCTAGCACTCTACCACTTGAACCACAGCGCCACTTCCAACTTTTTCTGTTGATATGGTACTGAGGAATCTAACCCAGGGTTCCATGCATGCTAGACAAGCACTGTACCACTAAGCCACATTCCCAGCCAACAACTGGTTTTCTATTACAAGTTCATAGGCTTTTAATGATAACATCTTGATGGATAGGGCATAAAAAGACCAAGCACATTGAACCATATGTTATTTCTGTTAACAGTTTCTTAAATTCTCAAATCTTTAATTAATGATAGACACTATCAAACTGGAGAGTTGAATAATTTGGTTCTAATTTTGCTTTTGCTGCTCTGTAACCCGTGTAAGTTGGAGCATTAAACGCTATAAGCTTCAGTTCTCTTCATCTATAAAGTAGGGACTCAAAAATCTACCTAAAGAACACTACAAGGATCTTGTGATAATCAGGTAAAACAGTTTACATACAAGTGTTTTACAAACGCTACTTATTGGTCACTACAGATTCATTTTTTAGTGAATTTTATTAATATTAATCTCCCCAAATAAATAGGAACATAGCTGAAAGTTTTAAGTAGACATAAATGTAAGCTTTGTAATACTACTGATTTAGAAAAATGCCAATGAAAAATGTACATCTCCTTTTGGTAAGCTTAAAAGGGCAAGCTGTGGGACTAGGGGTGTGGCTCAGTGGTAGAGCTGCTTGCTTGGTATGCATGAGGTTCCGGGTTCAATACTCAGCAACACACACAGTCACACACAGAATATAATGGTTATCACAAAGAAAAAAATTAAAGTTTGTACAAGATACTGTACAAAGAGAATGGCACAATAACAACTGTGAACCTTTAGCAGTTGATGTTTTAGTCAGATGTGGCAAAAGTTTAAATCCCACGCCTGTGAAACATACTGTAGACATTCGCACCAGCCTAGATTATAACTACCAAAAATATTTCCCACGAGTCCCTGCTTTTGAAATCTTCCAAGAATCACAGGAGATGCATGCTTAGAAATCATGGTTAAGCATGCTACTTGACTACTGCACCTGCAAATACTTAACAAATGCAAACTAACATAGTTCCTTCTCTTAAAAGAGCTGTTTCAATCAACAGCTCCATCTGCTGGCTGACTCCGGGAACTAAGTCAATGTCCTCTCACCTAACAACTTTCTTGAATTAGATGTCCTACTCAGACTTCTGTAATTCACAGTCCACCATTCAACTAATTCCACCTCAGGAAATCGCTTTTTTATATATTCACACATTCTCTTTCATTCCTGAGTTAGCTTGGTAGGGCTGCCGAAACAAAGTACCAAAAACAAAGTGGCTTAACCAGAAATGTACTACCTCCCTTCTGGAGGCCAGAAGTTTGAGATCATGATGAGTTTTGATAGCAGATTGTTCCATGGTCCTCTCTTTGGCTTGAGATGGTAGCCATCATATTCACAGGACAATCTTTCTGTGTACAGCATGTTTCTGTGTCCAAAGTTTTGCTTTATATAAGAACAATCCTATTTGGAGTATAATCCTCTCAAATGGCCACAATTTAAACTTAACTACTTTTTAATTACATCTGATGTAACCTTATTTTTAAATAAGTTCATTGACTAGGAATTCAACAGATAAACTCAACCCACAGTAACTCCCCTTTCTTCTTCTTTGCCCCAACTTGCTCTAATACCCCAAAGGTGATCTTCTGTTTTCATTATCTCCCTATTTTTGTCAGCCAAATGAATTATCCCATATGTAGTAGAAATGGACATGCTTGGAGGGGAAAAATCATGTGCTTTGAAAGTCAACTGGACTTGGATAGAGTTGTGAGGCTCCCCTGAGACAGCTCAAGAGATTTGATTCTCTTGAGAAGGTCATTTGCATTCTCCTCTATATATCCTAGTTTACCTTTTCCTAAATACAATCACTCAGGGTAAATATTTCTATACCAGCATCTTCCCATTCCATTAATTTTCAAATCATATTGTATGCTGCTGTATTTCCATCACCACTGTACAGTAAATTTTTTTTGTCAGTCGTGGGGCTTGAAATCAGGAAGCTGTCCCTGAGCCTCTTTGTGCTCAAGACTAGTACTCTACCACTTGAGCCACAGAACCACTTTCTGAGTAGCTAGGATTATAGGTGTGTGCCATCAGCACCTGGCCTTTACAATATTTTAACTGTTATAAAATAAACTGGAGTAAAAGTCCTGAGAGGATGGTAAGGATCTACCCACCCCTTCCCATCCCACTCCTCAGAGTCATCCATACAATTATTTCTCTAGGTATTTAGTGAGTACCAACTATGTGCTGGGCATTGTGGCAGCTGTTAGAGAAACAAATAAGTGAGTCATACTGTCTGCTACAAAGACACACACAATCTAAAGGGACAGACAGGCATAATTAGTGCTTTAAGTCTTAGAATAGTGGTATTTGTAAGATGATATGACAGCATAGGAGATGGAATCAGGGATCAAAAGTTGCCAGTCCCTGTCTATTTAATAAAGGGAACTCTTCTTGGTGAAGGCATAAATTTTCTATTAGATTACATGAGAAGAGGAAAAGCCTAGCCAACAGACAAGAAGGGCTTTCTAGCACACTGGAGTGAAACAGGAGGTAGATGGGGTGTGCCAGTGTGATTTCAGATCAAAGAATCTTTGAGCAGTCTTCTACCAACCATTAGTCTCAGTCTACGGCTTAGTTAGATTAGCTTGCATTTGTTCATCCCTGGTATGTTAAAGTGATGGATACCATCTTTGACCTCAGGGACATGCACATGGCTGACTGGAAATGAATGAAATGTTTCTGAGCTTGCTTTTAGAAACTGCAATTCAAGCCTCTTCATCAATTTACAGGAGTCATTATAATCATCCAACCAATGAATTGTTGACACGCTATTTCATCTACCCTACAAATGACTATTATGAGCTGTTATGTGCCCAGTCATCCATACAAACTTTTAATTTTCTCTTGGTAGTTAGTTTCACATCATTTCTACAGTCATCCATACAAACTTTTAATTTTCTCTTGGTAGTTAGTTTCACATCATTTCTACCTCTGCCAATTCCAAAGTTTATTTGAGGCTGAATTATTTCAGACACTTGCCATACACTCACCAAGCTTAAACCTGGATGCACTTCTAAGTAGGCTGTAGAATAATTCCTCGGGAAGAACAGTTTCAGATCTCAGTTGTTGCCACTTGAACAATGTGATTGTATTTTCAAACCCGAGGAGGAACAAATGAGCATGGGCTTTGTGTATAATGCCAAGATTTCATCAGAATCTCATACACAATTACCACTGACTTCTCACTTTCACGTCTCATCAATTAGTGAAAAGTAAATTTAGTTGCTTTAATTTGTTTGTTGGATGTCCCCCAAAGGCCAATGTGTTAAAAGTACGGTCCTCAGTGTGGTACTATTAAAATATATGGCCTTATATGAAGTCTTTAGGTTACAAGGAATATGCCCTTAGATGGGACGCTGGCTTCCTCCTTCCTCCTCCCTCTCTCCCCCGCCCCCCTTTCTCTCTCTCACTTTCCAGCTATGAGATGAGGGTTGAGTTCTGGCTATTACCATCCAACACCCCCCCACGCCCCCCCCCCCACACATACAACAGACATCAAAAACTAATGTCCACCAAATAAACCTTGTCTTTCTCTCAATAACTTAGTTATCAAGGATAGTCTGTTAGAGAGATAGAAAGTACAGTATTCATGACACACGTTGCTTCAACCAGATCCTATTTCATTCCTTGGAATGGATTTCTGTTCCCAAAAATTTGGTGCAGAGCCAATAAATTTCAGGATATTCAAGCTGAGAAAGTCAGAGCTCATCTTATCCACCATATGGGGGAGAGGGAAGAGTTTGAGTCACTCACTCAACTTCAGACTCACTCTGAAGTTAGACTTGAACTCTGTAGTCCAGGTTGGCTCAGCCTCCTGAGTGCTGGAACATTCCAACATGCTCAGCAACTATATACTTTTATAGCAGAGAAGTTGAGGTCGGAGAAGTTACATGGTGGTTAAGACTATACAGAAGCTAAAACAGATCCAGCTGCTTCCACACATATTCAGTTTTGCTTTTAATGTTTCCTATTCTGTTTTCTCCTGTTTCTATCCTCGACCCTTTCTGTATGAACCATAGTAAAGATTTTGATCCTTGTCTAACATGAGAGGATCTACTGAAGGACTTAAAGCTGAGGTAAACATCAACTGATTTATAATTATTTGAAAAAATTCCCTAATGACAAGAACAGAATGGATTGAAGAGAGATTTTCAATCCATTGTCCTTCTATTTGTTGACCCTATGTGCTTCTTGAAG